AACTAACTGGTTTGTTGTCTACTATTGTAAAGGTTCTATAGTAAGGTGGTTGATTTTGTGGTAGTCTGGCTTCACATTCATACTTCACAAGGTCAAAAGGAAGCGTTGAAATGTCTTCGGAAATTCCTCTGCCAATAGTTCCTATTCCAGAGGATAGTCCGATCTCGACCATCCCAACTTTTGAGTCAGCAACGGCTGAGGAAAATAGAATTCTGCGACTCCTCATGATGGAAATGTGGGACGCCTAGACCAATGGAAAAGAACCGCCAACATCCCCATAAGTTATCCCTGAGCTTTTTCCCTGAGCTTTTTCCCAGGGCAAGTAGGACCTCCAACATCCCCATAAGTTATCCAAATACCCCACTAGGATATCCTACCATTTTAGCCCACTTTTCTAGAACACCTTCTGAGTCTCGCCCCCAGGTGTTAGCTTCAAGTGCGGCTTCAAACATATTCACCGCGCCACCTTGTTCAGCTACGACACAACCTGCTTTACCCAGGCCTAACATTGATTCATCTTCCTTCACATTTCAAGCACCATCTTTCCCAGTGGAACCTCCTAAGTTTCCTACTTATACTTACCCTCAACCAACCCAATTTGAGTTCACTGCGGGGCAAGAAAAGACCACCAAAACTCCAGAGCAAGAAGAGATTGTGAGGAAGATGAGGAGTATGGAACAGAGTCTCAAAAGCATACAAGGCTTGAGTGGACAGAAAAGTGTATCCTATGCCGACTTATGCATGTTCCCTCATGTGCACCTACCATTGGGATTCAAAACCCCAAAATTTGAGAAGTATGATGGGCATGGTGATGCTATTGCTCATCTCAAGAGATATTGCAATCAGCTGCGAGGAGCCGGTGGAAAGGAAGAACTACTCATGGCCTATTTCAGAGAAAGTTTGGTTGGCATCGCATCTGAGTGGTACATGGACCATGATATATCCCGCTGGTACATCTGGGATAATCTTGCTAGAGATTTCGTCAGACAGTTCCAGTACAACATTGATATTGCTCCAAATAGGAACTCATTGACAAACTTGAAAAAGAAATCCTCAGAAAGCTTCCGAGAGTACGCAGTTAAATGGCGTGAGAAGGCATCCAGGGTAACGCCTCTGATGGATGAGGTTGAAATGGTCACAGTTTTCCTTCAAGCTCAAGAAGCTGACTACTTCCAAAATATGATGTCCGCAATGGGTAAACCGTTCGCTGAAGCTATCAAGATTGGCGAAATGGTTGAAAATGGGCTGAAAACAGGTCGAATTCTAAGCCAATACGCTATCAGAGCTACCTCCCAAGCCATTCAGGGTGGGTCTGGAGGAATTGCAAAGGGAAAGAAAAAGGAAGAAACATCCATGGCAGTGTCGGGTGCAAGGAGAAACTGTACTCCCAGATCCCTTTTCTCAGAAAGGACCCCGCAACACTATTACCCTCACCAAGACTTGGCCTATACTCCTCAGCCATACTCGATCATGAATGCTCAGCCTTATGTCCGGCCACAACAACAAGCCAACAGAAATCAAGCTCTATTTCCTAGAAACCAACCTCCTTACCAAACCCACTATAACCCCCATCCTCCACAAAATAATTTCCACCCTCATAAACCGCCCAAGAGGCCAAATTTCACACCAATTGGCGAAACCTACTCCAGCCCGTTATCAAAGCCTGTTCAAATGGGTCTGCTATAGCATGTTCCTCAAACCAGGCAAAACCCAGCATCACCCGCTTACAAAGCCGGTACCCGATGCACCTATCACTCAGGGGCAGAAGGGCATGGCACGGATGATTGCTGGACTCTGAAGAGAGCCGTGGGGAACTTGATATAACAAAGGAAGATAGTGCCGAGGGATGAAGATGTTCCCAATGTGACCAACAACCCACTGCCAGCCCACAACAATGGGCCGGTAATTGGAATGATTTGTGAGGATAAGGAATTTGACCCAGCATTGAAGGCCATCATTGCCATTGCTGACGAAGAAAAGAAACCAAAAGCTGCCCCTAAGCAAGATAAAGGGGAGAAAAAGAAAGAAACCACCCCTCAAAAGTCAGAGAATAAAATTGAAGTTGAGACCGGGGCAACGCCTCCCAAAGATGTTGTTCTCTATGTCCCTCAAAGCCGTAAAGAAAAGCAGATGACATTGAGTCCTCCCAGGAGATTCGAGCTGAACAAAACAACCCAGATGTATGTGCCCAAGGGGGATTATGTGATGTGGGGGCCAATTAAGCCATTGAGGCTGAATGATCCCGTGGTTACTGGACGCGCACCACAGAAGCCCATGAAAGATCCTACTGCTGTGCCCTAGAACTACAACAAAACAGTGGTGACCTATAAGGGCAAAGAAATCCCAGGAGAAGTTCAAGAAAATAACCCTGTTGAAAAGTATTCCAATTTGGAAGAGGTGAACAACGCTACTAGAAAGCGCTTCCCACTTAAGAAGCCCGTGAGTGCCGAAGAAGCGGAGACTTTCTTTTAAAACATGAAAATGGCAGATTATGAGGTGATTGACCAGCTTCGAAAATTTCCCAAACAAGTCTCCTTGTTGGCTTTGTTGATGAACTCCACCGAACATCAAAAGGTATTGATCAAGACCCTTAACGAAGCATATGTGCCTGTTGACACTTCTGTAAAGCCGTTGGAGAGAATGGTAGAAAGATTTTTCGCAATCAACCAGATCACTTTCAGCAAAAATGATTTGCCATCAGAAGGGGCTGCACATAACAAAGCCCTGCACCTAACAATCAAATGCAAAGGGCACTACGTGAAAAGTGTTATGTTGGACAGAGGCTCTGGAGTAGACATTTGCCCACTTTCAACTCTACAGCGCATGGAAATCGGGACCGAAATAATCCGACCCAACAATGTCTGTGTACATGCCTTCGATGGCATCAAAAGGGACACAATTGGAGAGATCGATCTAATTCTGACCATCGGCCCAGTAGACTTTGAAGTAACCTTCCAGGTTCTAGACATGGGCACATCCTACAACTTTCTTTTGGGGAGGCCATGGATTCATGCAGCGGGGGCTGTACCCTCTACTTTTCATCAGATGGTGAAGTTCGAGCATGCGGATCAAGAGATCGTGGTCCACGGAGAAGATGAGCAATCAATTTATCGGGACCCATAAGTCCCATATCTGGAAGCAAGAGAGGGGAGTGAGCACATAGTTTATCAGGCTTTTGAAATTATGGTTGCAGACCAGTACAAAGGAGGAAACCCTTGCCCCAACCCTTCCTTTCTAATACATCAATCATGGTGGCCAAAGAAATGATCCGACATGGCTTCAAACTGGGGAAGGGACTTGGGAAATCATTGCAAGGGATAGTTGAACTTATCACCCTGCCCACCAGTGAAAAGTTCTTCGGGGTAGGCTTCCGACCCACTCCAGCTGATATAAGATGGGCAGATGATAGAAAGAATGATGGTTGGGTCTTGCCTCAGCCGGTTCCGCATCTGTACAGAACATTTGTCAAGCCAAAATACCAGAAGAAAGAAGAAGATGAGGCCTTTACTGCCGAAGAGATTGAAGAGATCTGTGGGGCAATGAGGAAGATACTATATGAAACCCACATGGTCCAGCCAGGGGAGGGCTCAAGCACCGCTGAGGTGCTGTATATGGGACCCAATGCCAAGCTGCAGAATTGGAAGGCTACGCCATTCCCAATCAGGCGGGAGTCCCGGTAGACCTGTCCTGCCACTTTTTCTGCATCGCGAGTTATGTCAGGGTGTAACTCGGATGTTTTTCTTTAGTTTCTTGTCTTTTAATTTCCAATGTAAACCCTGTTATCTTCAAATTCAAAGAAATGAAATCATATTTCATCGTCCATCCTTCTTTATTCTTTCTGATTTTGTTATTTTTTCTCTTTTTTCTTTCAGCTCTAATAATGTGGCTTTAAATAACATGACATGCTTGCGGACTTCATGCCCAGATCCAAACACGCTGTCTAACTACGAAATAATGAACCAAGAACCGGAATATGATGAAGAGGAACCATTTAAGGAAATAAATCGAGAATTGGAACAATTTGAGAATAAACCTAAGCCAAACTTAAATGAAACCGAGCCGGTTAATTTGGGTAGCTCTGAAGAAGTCAAAGAAACCAAGATAAGCATTCATACAGATGAAAAAACCAGGGACGCATTGATCTAACTTTTGTTTGAATTCAAAGATGTGTTTGCTTGGTCATACGATGACATGCCAGGATTAAGTGTCGATTTAGTGGTCCATAAGTTGCCAACCTACCCCGATTATTCCCCTATCCANAGTTTACTAGTTATGAAGCCAAGTACACTTTATTGGAAAGAACTTGTTGTGCTTTGACATGGGTCGCTCAGAAGCTGAGGCATTATTTGCAAGCTTACACCACCTACCTCATAACCAGGTTGGATCCTTTAAAGTACATATTTCAGAAACCAATGCCCACTGGGATATTAACAAAGTGGCAGATATTGCTCACGGAGTTGACATAGTCTATGTCACTCGCACGACAATGAAAGCCCAGGCATTAGCGGATCATTTGGCTGAGAACCCGATTGATGATGAGTACCAACCTTTGAGAACTTACTTCCCAGATGAAGAAGTAAA